CTTCTGTGCACAGTAGAAAATGATAGTAACACTGCCCGGAAATGATAAATGAACCAATTGATTTTAATGTAAACCCGACGCAATTAGTGAATTGCCAGTTGCAGCTAATGTTAAATTATCTCCCACGGCGTACTACGTATTAGAGTGGGACGGTGAGTATTCCTTGTAATGTTGAAGTTTCAGAGAGCCTTCGGATGATTCTTAATAAAGAAAACATACATTTAGTTTTCCATAAAGACATCACGCTCCGCTCTACACTAATATTTGGTCGGTGAGGTTGACTGTTCGCATAGTAAACGTGCCCTCCGCTGTCACAGAATTTTACGTCTTCCACTTCACCTAGAGCAGTCGTCATACGCTCACCATATAGGAATAACTCCCGTTACCAGTGAACATATTCTTACGGAGTATTTCTTACGGAAAGTGATTTATGTAACCCAAGTTGTTGTAGCGCTCTTCGTGCTTCCTTCCAGACGGGCCACTCTGTTGTTCTTAACAGTTTTCACTGCTACGATACTGTGATCCATCAAGGTTCTCGCGCTATGTTGTGGTCCTAGAATTACATCCATAGGATCATTTCTAACGAAGCTACGACAATCGCTCGGCAGTTTCCGCTGTCATCCACCCACTAAAGGTCACTTCCAACGGCTTTGTCCTACAGGAACGAGTGGGGATCTATAATCTAGTCAAAATACGTGTACATGTGTCCTCCTCTTGCACACTCACCTAGGTCAGCCGACGTCTACATTGCGACTCAGACAAAGAACACGAGCCTCACTCGCCCTCTACCTTACGTGATAAGACAAGGGCAGCGTTCGTTTTCCACAACGGTTCACAATAGAAATGTTTCCACCTATCCACAAATGTTGTAAGCGGGAGTGTTTATGGTCAGTTAAGCGGGACATTTTGAATTGTGTGGCCATCAGTAACACCCACTCTGTGGTGCTTTAAACCAACTACAACACCAGAGGCAAATCAATCTGACTGATTCGCTCTGGTTTTGCCAAACAAGCAGAGCAATCATAGTAGTCGTATGTGTAATATCGGTCGTGAAAAGTGTGAAAATCTGACTGAAACAATCCAACAGATGGCGAACCTCAGGGTCTTGCCATTAGAATCTAACAACACCGATCTTGCTTTACAGCAAAACCCTCAGAGCTCTGTTACTAAGTCGAAGGCTAACCGCCCGACGACATCTGCTCTACCTACTCCGACAGTTAGTAACCCATGAAGTAATCAAGACACATCCAGCGTGACTGCTATTAACTCATCCCGAGATACCATATCTCACGAGTTGGTCAAAACACCGACAACGACAGCTTTGAGCCGAGTAAAATACTCATCGAGAAAATGCCTAAAGTAACACCCGTACGTCCATGTTCTGGATCACGCACAAGCGATGCGACGCCGCTGTCACAACGTTCTTTAGTGCCGGCTAAACAATCAAAGTTACCAGCCACAACACTCAAAACAACATTCGCTCAACAGAACCACCGTGTGTTAACGGTCATGTACACTAACGTTTCAGATTCCATTTCTAGCTTAATAAAGGCAAGTTGGTAGATGACCGCAACCGATGGCATTCCATCTGCGATGTGATTGGTATTCTGGTTGACCCAACTGGGCTACGCGTCACCCAAATTCTTTGCACTACGGCGAACCCCGATTATTGCGAGTAACTATATTTTCTACTGAAGAGGCAGACAAATTATACTCTCATCACTTCATCTTCGAAACTGATAAAACGGGGTGTGCATATTACCCGATATTCCTTGGAAAGGATGGCCGAAGGAAAAAGAAAACCTTGACGACCTTTCTACCAACAGGAGCAAATATACCGTATTTTTCATAGTGTTCCTGAACTATTGCGCTCTCCTGAGCAAGAAGCGCAAAAGCATGAAAGAGAGCTGTGGTACTACATATGCGAAGCATTCTCTGTGAACCAGGTTATCACTAAATCACTAACCGAAATTGCTTTAACACCCATATACAAGGGCAGCGGTCCATAGACATTGCAGGTCGTACTAAACTCCAATGGAATGAGAGAAGACTTATTAGATAACTGGTTAAAGAATCGCTTCAGGTGGCCTAGCGAGATTAGGCTTTAGTGCAGGAAAACGGCACGTGGGCAAACCGAAATTAGGTTACCAGGACATGAACAAGGTGAGTTTATCACGAACTAATGTTGATTTCAGGAGTTAGGAAGCAAAAACAGAGTTGCTCGGCATCAATGCCATGGGATGATCAAGAGAGCGGTTACCTCGGTGCAAGAGAAGGCACTATTGCGCAGGGAGGAGAAGCGCCGGATACGGAAGCGACAGACTCCGATAAATGCTAGACCGTCGATGCCGAGAACATGGTGCTGTAGCACATGCGGTCGTGAGTATATGAGCCAAGTGGGTTCGGCAGGCCACCAACGTGGACACGCGTGGCCAGCATTCAAGAGGTCGAGCAAACTGATTAGCTAAGCATAATCAGCGCAACGATTGGTAGGTGCGATGCGTCCGCTCCCATTCGATTTACTAACCCAAGCCAATAAGGCGCCACATGGTCATGGAGGTTGGTCTGCACGTGTGCCTGCGTGTTGAGTTCCTTGCATTTCAGGGGCTGGTGGCTGTTGATTAATATCCATGGTGTGGCTGCGCTAGATGTGAATGTTGACAAGGTGCCTACCTGTCTAGTACCCACAGCCTCATCTATACTGGCTCCATGAGACTAGGAAAAGTTGCTGGTGGGGACGCGGTGCACGGTCCTCATGACCTTGTTAGGCTAAAAGAGTGGTTCTGTGCACATGGTTTGTGTGTGGAGCGGGCTACGACCTTGTGCGCTTGATTCCCCAAATACAATGTGCATATGTTTGCCTGTGAAGGACTGTGGGATGGCTTCGTTAGTGAAACGTGGCTCCCATCCATATGCCTCGCAATCTTATTCCTTCGGATGTACGCCGGATATGGGGTGTTTGGATGAAACTGTGGGTGGTGCAGCGCCAGCCACCCATGGTCCCTCTACATGCACAGGCGTTCTGTGGCTGTCCCCGTGGAGGCTACAGTGACAGACAAATCGGGACACAGATGCCGCTAATCCATATGTAAGTAGCCACGTTGAGTTGATTGGTTACTGTGACTATGGATTTGTGATTTTGTCCAATGAGTAAGCCAATGTAGTAACCCTTTGAAGTGAATGACATCTGGGAAGTGTGTAGGGTCCACCGGAAAGGGAAGCGGCAGTGACTTTATCAAGCGGGGAGTCACATCGCCACGTCACAGTGTTGGTAAACATACATTTGTGACTTTTTATAGGGAGAACGTTTTCTAGGCGTAAACCCACCACGTCCTGGAACATTGCCGCCGAACCATTTGCTGGAACGGGGTTAACTCGAACCACCCAGCTGGCATCACGAGGAGATTGTTCGGAACCCAAAGTATTCTGTGCACTGCAACAAAAACTGCATGTCACCAACCTGAGTCATTCGAGTTCACGTTCTTTGGGGTTTTCCGAGGCCGCAGCGACGAGATCGACAAAGCCGGCTCGGTATGTAGTACTGGTAGTCGATTTTTAGTTACTTAGTACTAGGGTCATCACTGTCGGCCACTCCAGTAAACGTGATTGATTTGGGAAGCCACTTCAACATTGTATGAATTATTTACTGTTAGTGTGTTGGTACGGATAAGAAGATGCGAAATACATACAGCTATAAATGTTTGTCTTTCACTGCGCTGTTCAGACGAGTAGTTGTTGTAATCAAGCAAAGTGTTGAAAACGCGCGACCAGTACAATACGATAAAAAGTGTTCAAATTAAGAACCAACTAAATGCAGTCAACGAGAGGTAAATAGTAAAGTTGGCGTCAGGAAGGTAACGCGATTTGCTGCCAGAAACGACTCCTAATATTCAATGGCGCTAGCAGAATTATGTATTGAAACGGATGTGAATGAACAAGCGCAAAAGGAGACGATTTGGTGTTACTACTCCTCAAACATATAGGAGCCGGTCCCTGGAGTTCAACGGGATGGATGGAGGGCGTCAGGAGTGCCTTACCTCCCCAACTTATTGGCGGAACGGATCTATACAAGATCAATCTCCTACATTATCACACCTCATGAAGACGAAAGTGGACCTCAATGTGATGCGGTGGTCTGCGTAGTATTGCAATCCATTGAGCCACGCGGGGATGCACTTTCCAAGTGCCTCCAGAGCAATTCACCGTCAAATCAATTGTCGTAGATCAGACAAATTCAGTGAATCTTCCCTTCTTTGAGAGTTGAGAAGCGGTCAGTGGACACCCTTCTTCAAAACAGTCCATGGAGACAACAGGATATCAGTCAGAAATCCAGATCGATTGGTGTGGAGCACGAACACCACGTGTTGTGTCCGAAGGTTTGATAGAAGCACTCGTACAGATGGTTGGCTGCTATTTACTGGGTTAAAAGAATGTAAACTCTTCCACTCGTGGTAAGTCGTTATCGCAGGTATGTGAAATACTGCGGTCGAGTAACATGTATGATCGCATGTGACATTCATCAATCAGACCCCAACGGGACGCTCTATACATGCCACCGAGGCTGAACTTGTTCTTCACTGCTTAGTCGGAACAGCTCAGGTGGAATTTACCAAACAGACCCCAGTTTGCCCCGCTGCATTGTACACCAAACTAGAAATAGTGCACCTCGAACGAAACCCCTCTAATCGGGATGGGTAGCCAGAGTGTACTATTTACCCCCAAAGCCCTATCAACGAACGCTGTTTACTCCTATTGTCTTCTTTTCCACTTCGTTCCAGTAATAAACCGCCAACAACTTCTTAGTTGACGCCCGCGATGCATCTAACACATCATTCAGATTAGGGCTTTACTCCACACGGCCCGTTCAATGCCCGCATTCGAAGTCAGAACGGTCAATAGGGAACTCTGACCTTCAGATATGGCTCGGTTGATCCGCAGAGTTAAGGGTAAACACTCAGTCACTCGACTGAGCAGGCTATTGGGGATCATAGGCAAAATGGTGAGTGATGAAAGCGATTTATAATCAAAATGGACAGCCAACAGCAGCGCCAGAATGAATGTAATAATTAGGTAAAAACCAGGTTAGGAAGTGAAGTGATCGTATGTCAAAGTGAATAGATCAGATTAAGAAAGTAGTTTACACTATAAGAAAGATTAAATGTTCGATGTAAAAAAATAGTACGAGTTATGAGGAGATTGCAATGATGTGACCAAAAATGGACCTGATGGAATCAAAGAAGAACGCACAGGCTTCTTTTGTATCACCATGAGATGACGTTTCTGTGGCCAATCATTTAGTGGTTAGTCCAACGTCTGGTGAAGGCTGCCCATAATGGACAAGATAATGCAAGCTTAGAGACTGTTTCTATAAATGTCCAGCGATAATTTTCCCATACAGTGTAAGGCGTCTGTTGTTATAAAACGTCTCTATACTCTTGTGTTGAAGTCAAACCTTGTATCTCACGCAGGCCCTGAAAAAAACACTCGTAATGGGTCACAGACAAAAACTCACTTCAAGAAACAGTTTTATACGTGCCCTGATTTGGTTCGCTCTTTTCTTAAATACAGCGGTACGGTCGTTCAAGAAGGAAATACGTGATTCAATGATTTGGAGGGCCTCAGAGTGATTACATTCTAAATAGAAACCGAGACCGATGTCGACGAACAAAGGCTCCAGAGAGGGACTACAAAGAGTTGGATGGTAATGTGCAGCCATCAAGAACGTACATCACTCCTTTTACATACATACCGCAACCGATGTCCACCATGGTTTTCAGGCTATTTGTCACTAACTGGTGATCACGCAATTTCTCAATAGAGTTACGCAGTTGTAAGTAATCAGATATTTCGGCGAAAAGTTTGTCTCCCGCATCGAGAGTCTTTCTGCGAAATCGAGGACAGGAAAGAGCTCACTTCAAATCACTTCTCAAAGTCTCATTCACGTGCTCTTCTATTTTTCGCACCTTTTCCGGTATCGTCTCAGCCATCGTGAGTACAAGTTCCTTTGAAGACGCTTGCAGCGGCGGTGAGGAAGAGGGGCGCCACGAATTAGATCTGGTTTGATGGGTGGTGAGGCTAAAAGTTATGGACGATTGTTAATGGGACCAGGCAAACACATTAAAAGTAGAACTATCGTCGACAGACTGAAATGCAATGCTTCTCATCGTAAGGCGACTATGCAACTTCTGAGTACAAACAGGACATTATCATGGCTTACAGACTCAAATGTGTCGTGTGGCCAATAGCTGTCATGAACCATGTCCCATAGACCACTAACCTAACGTGATGATAACCACGAGAGACTGACATTGTGCGCACTATTCGTGGAATACAGATATCAAGAAGCACCAGCGAAGAGCAAAATTCAAATGCAAGATGAAACCTAAAGCAGCGATGTCGTTCAACTTAGGTTCTCTTACATTTCGACATGCAAATGAGCATCACAAGAGTGGATCAAGAAAACCACAACCCGGTGATGACAGTCGTAAGAAGGATTCATAGACAGGGTATCGGATTCTTTTGATGTTGGTTTTAAGTAGTGGGATGTCACCACAAAATAAACAAACGCAAGTGAATTCAGGATAGATTCTTCGCAATCGGCTCCCAGTCAAACAGACCCCCAAACAACTGAAAAGGTTTATGATAGAAGATTCATCTTATCATTGGGATTTAATCGGTTTGCGCATTACCTCGCCCCCACACCAGAAATCAAACTCGCGATAAGTGAAGTTAGAAGTCAGTAGCTTATGCCACTAAGCCGCAGACCGTGTTGACCCATTGCCATGACCGATAGATAAATGAGATATACCTCGGTTCATTCTGCATTGTCATGCATGTTGAGAGGATAATTTAGCCCCCAGAGCTAAGCGATTCCTTGCAAACCGCAATCAACCGAAAGAATAAAACAATAAAAAGACTGGTTCCCATGGGTTGTTCAAAAAATCGATCAAAGAAATTGAAGTGTCGAGTGCGTTTCTGCGCCAGGCATTCTATACGGACAGCTAGTCCTTACGTCCGACGAACCAAACAGTATAGAGTATTCCATCAATTGCAAAGGCCAGCTGGTTGATCGCATAAGTGTCACATGTATCGAAATGTTTTCAAGGTAAGATCGAACCATAGCAGGTTAGCCTAAAGGCTTCATCTGAATACAAGGTGTGAGACGGAACCACAACCCTAAGCGCTGCCGGTCTGGATTCTCTTGCGAACCCACTGTGTAGAGAAAAGGCGAAGGTCCCAAGCAAATGAAACGAATCAACCGTAGTTACAATAGACACAAGAAATCTAGTCGCAACGTTTGCGTTAATCAACGGGGTACAAGCTTTAGACTAGAGCCAATAAAACTAATCTACCAGTTAATCTATCTATCCATCTATCTAACTAGCTCGTGTAGACGAAAAGGAATCCCGGGCATAAAGAATGCGCACCTTCGAGTAAAAAAGAACCACACCGACCACATTGCTAGTGCCTGCAGTGGCAGAACAGCGGCACGTACATAGTGGGCGTGCGTGGTGACTTCAAGTACGTTCGAATCAATTGACAGCTCCTTTATGCTAGACACACTTGGTCAGAAAAATCTTCCCACAAAATGAGCGTTTTTCTTACCTAGCACCTCAAGTAGAGTTGGGATAAAAGGCGAAATATCAACGACCTCAGACTGATCGCATCGCCATCAGCTGCACATGTCGGGGTCGTGTAAAGGAGTGCAGATCCATCTGGTCCACTTTTCTTGACTAAGACCATACTTTTGCTTGAGAGACCATCTGGATGAGTTTCGGAGAACCTCCGACGCATATAAACTATCTACTCTCTCTGCTCAGCAGAGTTATCAATTTTCCCTGGCCTGTGCACTCAGTAGAGACCCATCATAAGATACTGATGAACACTGAACATGTAGAGGACCATAATCTCTTCCAAGCAGTTAGTCTGTGGTTATACTCAGCACCCTATGAAGGCCTGGATCTCCACGCGCTCTTTGGATCTATTTGAACGTCGCAGAAATATCCCTGCGGAGTCCAATTATAATGAAGTGCGCCGTCAGAACAAACAAAGCCCAGGGAGTGATCGCAAAGCCTGATGGTTTCAGTGGGCTTCGGAAATAAAGGCCGCTGCCCTCTCTCACAAGCGCTTCCAGCTCATTCGGTACACTGGCCACAGAAAGTATGGCGTCAGTGAGACAAGTTACGAAGCGGGTGCTTCGCCGGTTGCAAACCCGCACAGACGCTTGGATCGATGGGCCGAACATTTTCATTCTCGATTCAAGTTGTCCTCACCGCTCACTCGTATATCCTGCGAACCCAGCTGCTCGCCCTGGATCGGTAGCCTTGATTCACCCAGCAATTCGACACTTGAAACGATTCAAGGCTGCCTGCTTAGATGGACTTCCTTTGGAGCTATTCAAGTGTGGAGGCGCAGTTATCATTAGCCAGCAAACCTCATTATTCTCCAAAATCTGACATGAAAACGTGCTTTCTTCCTGGGACCAGTTGGTTATTGTCCCGATTTTTAAGTAGGGTGCTTGCAATTCATGCACCAGTCACCCGGGGATTAGTCTCATCTTGGTTACGTCCAAGCTATTGGTACCTATTGTATCCGTCACTACCTGTCATTCGTGAATCACAGTACCGCGAAGAAGCAGCTGGCTTCTGACCTGGCCGCGGGTGTGTTGAGCAAATATTCACGCTCCACCAAGTTCTGGAACACCGCCACCTTTACTAGAAACCTACCATGGTTGCATTTCTAGACATGCGTGTTGCATTCGAGCCAGCTGATTGACCTGCACTATGGCGTTGTTTGCTAAGGAACGGGGTCCCAGAACAGTACACTGCCATCCTACGCGCACTCTAGCTCCACATCTCCGGCAAAGTGAGGGTTTATGGCAGGCATTCGTTGTCCTTCGCTGTCAATAGCGATGTGCAACAGACCAGCCATATGTCCCCGTCCCTCTTCAATTTCGCGATTGAAGACGTTCTGTCGAGAGCTCTAGACGGTTATCAAACTTTTGGCGTACAGCTACTACCGGGCAAACGAGCGACCAGCTAAGATTATGCCGATGATATCGCCATAGTTGGTGAGGACTCACAGAGGATGCAAGCCATTTTAGAACGTTTGGCGATTGATGCCTCTCGGTGTGGAATGTGCTTTGCCCAGTCAAGGTGTAAACTGTTGCTACAGGATTGGCACTTACCCATTCCCGTGCTCAGTATTGAAGGTACACAGCTTGCACACGTGGACAGCTTTGTTTACCTAGGGAGCTGTGTATCTGCTTGTTGTGTGGAGTCTGGGATAATAGTCGGTAATCAATTACGCGTAATAGACGTGTCAAATACGGACAGTATAGAAGTTCGAGGCGACTGAAACCAACGCATATTGTGCAGGCTACAAAAGTAGGGAGCGAATCAACTAGAGTGAGAAACGGTGCAAGCAAGGTACTCACGAAAACGCATTGTATCAATGGATGTGCCGTTAGTAAATCAAGTGGACTTTTTGAAGGTTAAAACAACCGTATTTTCCAATGTTGCAAAATACTGCAACAGCGTGTTTTCCGGTGCACTACAAGGGCTCCCCTTTAGAAGGCTGCAGGATGTAAGCCTTCGATGGAACAGTTAGTGGGGGGGGGACAGAAGGTGAGGATGTGTGCGAATAGTTGCATGGGCATGAGTAAGGGCCTCCAAGGTGGGGTGTGTAGCAGAGTTCGCTGAGACCAGGCTTTGGTTATTAATTAATCATGATGATTGTGTGGACCAGAGTGCATCATCGATGGGCTGTTGCGGCGGACTGGTCAGACTGCAAAAATCTGGCTAGTCCAGATAAAACGCCGACAGGAGATGACGTCCGCTGTAGACCCGACGGTGCGCTTGGGAGGCGTCACCCCCCACCGCACTTCAGTTCACGGTTCTCGTTGCACGAAGAAATCCGGGAGCCCTCGTCCCACGAAGAAATCAGGCATCCTCGTCGGCAACGCCTAGCCAGGCATTTATGGACCAACCCTTACGTGGCTGCCTGCGGCCGAGGGCGACTCTCTGTTCCTTGGGTAAGGAAGCGGGCCTTGGATCGCCTGGCGAGTCACTCGGGGGTTGCGTTGAGCCCGTTGGCGAGTCACTCGAGGGTTGCCTTGGCAGTTCCGGCAGTTGAGTTTCTGGAAGGTAGAACTCAGAGGGGTGGGCAAGGGTCGGGGAAGTGGCTTGACGCCGGAGAGGGTACATGACATGCATGATAAAAACAAATACGCTTTTTAAGTTTTTAAAATGCTTTGGGTTGTTTGTCGATTTTGCAAAACATTTGTGGATGAGACGCATGATTACCACTGGAAAGGAGAAGCGCGGGTTAATGGAAATAGCAAACGTTTACAAAATCGGAAAAACGGACCGGATGTTTGACCTGTTTACCACGTCGGTCGGTTGCCTGGAATAGAGGCGTGCTAGGCTGAGGGCCACGGGGAACGGAGGGCTTCGGGAGATCCAGTGCTCGCGTGGTCACCGCAGGTGCGGGTGCTTGTGTGATGGCATCCGGATGGTTTGTAAGTGGTTCGTGGAAGAAAGCTACTTTGAGGCGGTCGATGTACTCCCTTGTTCAGTGACCATTCTGGTCTAAAGTGAAATGTTTCGGAGTTCATTGCAGAACTCTGAAAGGGCCATTGTATGGAGGCTGGAGCGGGCGCCGCACTGCGTCGGTGCGGAGGAAGACTTGAGTGCAGGTAGGGAGTCCGCTGTGCATTTGCACATCTCTAGTCTGCTCTATGGGCGGAGTAGGGCATAGTGAACGCATGTTTTGAGCTAGGGAGGACGCAACGTTAAGCGGAGGCATACCCGACAATAGGGGAGGTGAAACGAATTCTCCAAGTAACTTTAGCGTTGTGCCGTAAACTTACTCTGCTGTTGCACACTGCTACTCTGCTTTGATGTTGCTGCGAATGCCTAAGAGTACGAGCGAAATGTTTTTGCTGCAATTACGGTCGGAGGAGGCGCACAGCGACGCTTTAAGCTGTCTATGGAAGCGTTCCACTTACCTTTGGCTGCTGGGTGATACGCTGTGGTATGAATGCGGCGACAGGCTAAAAAGTTTTAGCACGTATCGAATTGTGTAGATTCCAAAGGAGTTCCTCGGTCAGTTGTAATGGTGAATGTGCATACGTAGTACGAAACCCAACGGTCTAAGAAGGCCCGGATAACAGTCTCAACTGTGGAGTCTGTTAAGAGAATGGCTTCTGACCATCTGGTGTAGAGGTGGACACATGTAAGAATGTAAACGAATCCGCGTGAAGGAGGCAAGGGAGGCTAGGGGCAGTGAAGGCAGGCGCGAGCCCAGTAAGAACATCTATTTTTACGCGTGGCTAAATGAAACGTTTTGTAAATAT